CACTAAAAGATAATGGAGCAAGGAAAGAAAAGAAAATGTGACCCATGAACTCATCTTCAAAAACTCAGATCATATAGTTTCCAGTATTTAAAAAAAATAAACAACTAAAAAAGGGGTGGGGGAACCACCTAACAAATAGAAATTAAAAGAAACCTGAACAAGATAGTAATGATTCAATTCATTTTTCTGTTAAGATTAAAACACGTGGAGATTATGTTCACAGGAAAACATGTAAATGTTACAAACACTGACAACACAGAAACAATGTAACTTACAAAGTTGATAGGGAAAAGTATTACTGTGTATGTCAAGTTCCTCATCTTTCATGGGTGAGTCAAAATAAATCATTCGTTTCTGAAAAAATAGTAGAGGTATATACGCAATTTAAGAAAGGGTATAAACACTAAAAGAATGCAAGCCAATAAATTGGAGAGCACAGAAGTGGGAGGAAATAGTGGAAAAATGGAACTGTATTAAACATTTTCACAACAGTCTAAAATATCATGAAGTGAAAAGGCAAATGACAAACTGGGCATGAATATTTAATTTGTTACATATCCCTAATAAATAAAGCACTTCTGAAAAATTGAAACATCAACAACCTAAGAGAAAATCGGGCCAGGACATGAAAAGAATAAAGCAAATATAGGAAATAGAAAATCCCACAGGACAAATGACCTGCTTTCCTCCACAAATAACTTGCAGGGCAAATTAAGGGTGGAGGAGAACTGTTACCAATTAAAAGATGGTTAAGAGATACGCCAACCAAATGTGTTGACCTTTTTTAAAACATAATTCAACCAAATAATTTAAAAGACATTTTTGTCCCAGTTGGTATGGCTCAGTGGACTGAGTGCTCACCTGCGAACCAAAGGGTAGCCAGTTTTGTGGACCAGGTCCCCAGTAGGGGGCTTGCGAGAGGCAACCACATATTGATGTTTCCCTCTCTTTCCCTTTCCCTTCCCCTCTCTCTCAAAATAAAATCTTTTTTTTATAAAAAATACATTTTAAGGCACTGGGGTATTCAATAAAATTGAGTATTAAATATTAAGGAGTCATTGTTAATTTTAGTTCGTGTAATGACAATTATCATGGATCGTTTTTAAAGCCTTATCTGGTAAAGGAATGTAATGAATTATTCAAGTAAATTGATACATCTGGAGTTGATTTAAAATACTCCATAACAATTATAATAAAGAAAAGGGATAAATTAGGCCAAAAATGCCTGTAAATTTTGATTCCAGGGATGGCTCTATGCAGGCTCATCGTACTGTTCTACTTGTGTATATGTTACAAATTTAATTGTGTACATCCAAATGAGCAGTTGCAAAAGTCCTGTACTGCTATGCAATTATCTGTGTCTAGAGAACAGATAAATAAAAATTATCACAATTACTTTAGTTACTATTGGAATATAATTTCCTTTGATTTCTTTTACTGGTAGTATTTGTTTTAAAACTAAAGCTTTAAAGTGAGGCATATAACTAGTCCTGTAACTTTTTTTTTGTTTTTGCTTTTTAATCTTGAGTTGACTAGATGACTGTGAACTGAGTGGAAATTCAGTTAAACTGGCAGTGTACAGTGACTTTGGCTAAAATGAAAGAAATAGATTATTGCAATTTTCTGATTAAATTATTTGTCGTTTAGGGAGGAAGGAGGAGGAATGCAAACGTTGCAGACACTATGGTAAAAAAATTAATTTCTTATTGATTGTATCAGATGGCAGGCCCTGAAGGGAGAAAGGGAGATGCATAAATGTTGCTATTCTGAAACCAACTTTGCAGAGCTTCATCACTATTCCGCCAACTCATCCAGGGGAGGCCTTCTGCTCCACTAACAAATCTTGCTCTGCTGCTAATAATTACTACTCCAAGCACGCTATTACCTATACCGGGCTAATTGCATTGTTTAAAAATATGTCTCTGCACAATGTAACATTTGAAGATGAAGGAAAAAAATCCTGACAGAGGCATTTCAGACAAGAAGATAAAAATGCAAGGGGGAGGTGACCAGATTTTCATTAAGAAAAGTAGGTGGTTACCAGCACTGTGCAAGGACAACAGACAGTTCACTGTATGTACCTGTAGAACTAAGTGAACCTAAGACTACAGGGAATAATACTCTGTGATGCAAACTACCAGATACTTTTAACAGTACTTGAGCAAATTTCTATTTCAAAGCAAATAATAAATATGCTTCATACAATTTGTCCCACCCTTATCATCCATTGAGGAAAACATTCTCAGGACCTTGTATTGATAACCCTTTATTATCTTTGTTTTAATTGCTTTGAGAACCTAGAAAATTTTTAAGGTTCATTTGTTAAAAAAAATAAATATCAAGCACTTGTTTGTTGATTTGTTAATGATAGCTCTTTTGGAAAAACTGGGACAACTATAATAGCACAAGCAATAAAATATTTTAAGTAATTAAAATACAACTATTCCACTACTTTCAACAAGAAGTCTCCCTCTAGGCTGCCTACTTTCTAATTGCTGAGGTTTTCATTATGTTGTAATAGCAGAAAATAACCAAACACAACGTGCAAAATGTACCTCTATGTTTATGTCATCTATCAAAACACAGTGACATAGAATTAATGGGTGGCAGTGCTGACCTATTCAAATGTTAAGGAAATCCAAAGATACATTGGTAGATTTAATATGATTAAAAGATTATGATCTTTGTTATGATTAATGTCATGTCATTAATAACATGATTTCAGTGACCATTTCAAGTCCAGTGTGCCCAAGATGAGAATTCAGGAATCTGTAGTTCATATTTGTTATTTCAACATTTTCATCCACTCAATAGTTTCCATCTGAGTGGTGCTTTTATCTTTAGACATGGTTATTTACTTCTCCATTCTCTTTTACTCTGCCTTCTGGCACTTTCATGAATTACTTCCTGAGTGGTACAGCCTTTGCCAATATCTCTGTGTTTTTACTGCGGCATCTGCCCCCCAAGGTAGCCAGATTCTCACACTACGGTTCTCTGCAGTTCACAACACAACCTGCTTTTCCATATATGAAAGACAACACATGCATGCACACACACTCTCTCTCTCACTCAGAGCAAGCTCATGCACCTTTCAAATCTCAGAAGCTCCTTGGCCTAGCTCTCATGGATGCTACTAAGATGCTACCTTGGTATGATATCCTCACTCACCAGAGAACACTTCCTTCCCCTACAGAGAATGTGCTCACTGGGTGTGATCGTGAGGAATAAATCTCATGTACTGGTCTTCAACTTCTGTTCCGGGAAAGGTCACTCCCACATCTAATCGCCGTCTAGAATCTAGATTCTCTTTCTGAACCTTGCCTGTAGCGAAATACCTTTCCAGTTCTGGTGCAAGGCGCCACAAAAGCAAGGAACTACAGTCACTATGAGGACAAAACCATCTTTCATTTACTCCCGTATCTGTAACTCCTCTCAGTCCACCTGGGCCACTGATAATTTTGCATGACTGATTTTTGGTGTCGTTGGACCCTTTACCTAGTATTCATCTGTTGCCCACTTTCCCACATGAACCCTCAACTTGGGCCTCAACCTCCTTTGCTAAGTAATACCCACCCCTGTCCCCACCTTCCAGAAACAACTTTCCTAGGCCTGAGAAATGACTACCACCCTGGACTCTACCCATTCACCAAATGTACTGGCTTTTTCTGACTTCATATCAGATCCCAAAGAGTAAAAAAGATGTTGCCATGCTCTCATTTTCACTCTCCGAGCCTGCTCTGCCCCTGTTCATAGCAACTAAAGCTGAGCTCATAGCAAGAGACTTGCTTCCAAGTGAAATTTCAGTTCCCAGGCCTGTTTACTGAGTGCTCACCGTGTAGCAGGAAAGTTCTAAATACCTCAGAGGTGTTATCTCATCAACTCCGTGTCTGCGAGGTGGTGGCCAGTATAATGAGCAGTATGTCATTTAATTCACAGTGAAGTTTACCCGTACAAATAAAGGAATACCCAGCCTCAAAAGGTCTTAAACAGTAAGGAAATGGCTTCTTTCAATTCATTTAGAGGTCCTAACATAGGGCTGGCTCCAGGCATGGTACATTGGGACAGGTGTAGGTGAGAATGAGAACTTGGAACACTTCAAATCCTCCTGAAATTTCCTGGCTGGCAGAGGCAGACCCGCCACAATCCCTCAACCAAGCTTCTCTGATTTATTCCCGTAACTTAACCTAGGATATTGACCTTTCAAAGGTGTGCAGATTCTCAACACCTACCCACCGGACTTGGACTCTGCAATGCCTCTGAGCCCCCCACAAGCCCATAAGATGATCTCCGCAGAGCTCAGCGGTGCAAAGTCAAGTTCAGGAGACCCCCAGGCATCTTGCCGCTTTCTGTAGGCAGGACTCTGGGGCACATGTATGGGTGAGCATTTTAATGGTGTCAGCCCAAGGGGGATGAAACGTTAAGGTCAGGCTCTATTTATTACGGGTGCACTTACCCAGGATCCAGAACCTAAGGTTATCTCAAGCATCTGAAAGGGGCATTAAAATAAGGTGCTCTATTGTTAATTAAACCCTGACATCAACAGCACCCACAGGAAACAAGGATTCAGGGGCAGAATTTCCCTGGCAGTGTTCAGGAAGGAACTCAAAGGCTCAGGAAAGGAGCAATATTGTAAGTGTCCAGAGTTATGTCTATTGTCCTAGTATAATTAATAATGGTGCCCCCTTTAACTCTCAAGTGTCCCAGTTTAGGATGGTTTGCTACCCGCTCAGCCACCCTTTACCCATGCCACCCTGGAAGCCCCAGAAGACACTCCCTTCACCAAAACTTTAAGAAATGCCTTGGTGAGGGGAGCACCAGAATCCCTATACAGCCCTGTCATACCTTTCCTCTGCAGCCTAGAGATGCCACTGGGGAATACTGGGATTCAACTAGCTTCCCTGATCTCAGTGGGAAAAATGGAAGTCAGGTGACAGTGGTAGAGGCCAATGCTAGCACTTAACCATTAAAAGACACTCCTTTATTTTTTTTCCATAGTGCTTGATATTTATTGAAAAGAACTCAAATGCGTTTTCCAGATTGTATTGAGAAGCTGGGCTGAATGCCTGTTTTTGTTTGTTTTTAGTATTTTTGTCCAAATGCACACATCTGTGTGACTTCTGCAATTGTTAAACAAAAAAATGACAGCTATGTAAAACTGGTGCATAGTAGAAAAGAATGTCGACAATTTGGCTGCCAGGAACACTAGGCCCCTGCAGCTATGTGGTGGGGGAGGGGGCACTCTGGGAATAGGCATGAAACTAACCAGGTTGAAAGACTGGCCCCCCTTCAGGGGTTGGTGAGATGTCCATATCAATGTCCAAGGAGGTGCAGCCAATGCAGGCATCTTCTAGGCTGGTCCTCATCTCCAAAGGCGGTGGTGGTCCGTTGCTGGAACGTAGTGGACGGTGGAGTAGAGGCAGCGCAGGTCTCTGGGCAGATGTAGGCCTGGCAGTTGGCAGGGCTGCACACTGTCTGACCAGCTGGGGCTTGGTACACAGTCCAAAGTAGCAGGGGTGCGTCCTGGGGCTGGCCAGAGTGGATGGCAGCGAGCTTCAGAGATAAGTCCCGGTCCCTGCAGCAGGTAACTGGAGCACAGTTCTTGGAACAAAGACAAGCACTACAGGAAGTGAAGGGAAAGAACCGGAGGGCAGAGGCAGGGAAGAAGGTCGGGGGGCTAGGAGAAGCAAGGAGCTGTGGGAGGGGCGGAGCAGGATGGGGGGCTCAGGGTGGCCGCGTGCAGGGCCCAACCCCCTAGGCCAGAGGGTCTCCAGGCCTAGTAACCATACTCTTCCTCCTCTTCGCCTTCTCCTTCGCCTTCTCCTTCGCCTTCTCCTTCGCCTTCTCCTTCGCCTTCTTCTTCGCCTTCTTCTTCACCTTCTTCTTCCTCATCCCAGCCAAAGCACTGTTTCAGCTCTTCGAGGAAGGCCTGGTAATCACTCAGGATGGGGCTATCCATCTCAATGTAGGGCACCACCCACTCCTCAGCTTCCCCGGTGAGCAGGCTGATTAGGAATGCCACTTTCATGGCGTCGTTGCAGAACCGGTTCTCGTTGACGAGCATGTAAGACGTCGTCTGCACGATAAACTCGGGAAGACGCGAGCTCTCGCCGCTAAACGTCTCGGGGAAAGGCACCGGGCAGCTCGGCGGACGTACCTGGCGCAGCAGGGTGGCCCTCTCGCAGACCAGCAGCCGCAGCTGTTCCATGAGCTGACTGTTCTCGATGCTCAGGGCACGGTGGCGCACCAGGAGAGCGTGCAGCAGCAGGACCAGCTCGTCCACCATGGCGAACAGCTTGGAAAGGTTGGGCTCCGTTCTGCTAGGCTCGGCTAAGGTGCGCACAGAGGCCACGCAGGACGTGCGTGTCCACGGAGGCGCCGATGTCCAGAAGAAGAAAACGCCGCACTCAGAGGTCGGAGCAGTTATGAGAGTTCCGGCCCACAAAGCCGTTTTTAAGGCCGGCGCGCCGGCGCGTCTCCGGGATGGGGTGGGCGGAGACTGGGGGAGCGAGCGTATCCCGGGAAGACTCCGGCGCAGCGTGAGGGCGTGGCCAGACTCGGCGGGTAGGGCAGCGAGGACACCACCGAGGAGGGCGGAGTCAGGGCGTGAGCAGAGCCTCCAGGTTTCAGGACTAGGTATTCCAAAGGACCCTGTATAAAGAGGCAGGGGACTGTGCCCGAGCCTGGATAGGGGACTGGCATTTGCCAGGACTCAGTGAGCGCTAAGACCCATCTCTCAGAGAGAGGGCCAACCAGCTCCAGTTTAAAGGATTAACTACCCTTCGACCCAGCGGACTCACATAATGCTGTGCTCCTTGGTGGGCAAGTGGCCAGCAGATTCCGTTTGTGTGCTCTTTGTTAACACATTTTCTTGCTTATTCAAATCTCACCCAGGGAGCTATTAGCACTGCTGGCCGCAACAGCAGTAGACATACATTGTTTCAGAGTAATGAAAGACCCCCCAGGAGTCCTGTCTTTCAGACAAAACAAAATATTTAAACAGGGATTTTCTTTAGTTGGGAAGTAGTATTGTATCTCTCTATGCTTTTTTTTATTTTTATTTTTCTAAATAGTGAAGTATAAAAAGTTCTGCAAAATCATCCAATAACCATTTGCAGCCATGCTTCCTATCTTTGACATTTCATGTCCTAATATTAGTGTCCCTTGGCCACTGGGTGTTATTTTTGCTTAACAATGAAGACTTGTGTTTTTAAACAGTTTTGTTTTTACACTTTGAATGTCATTATTCAAAGAGTTGTTGACAATTGAGTTGTGTCCAAGCCCTTAACAGCCAACTGTTGGCTCTGCTTTTAAACTCCATCCCCAATTTAATTACTTTTTTGTCCCTTCTGCCACTACCAACTACCCAGATCTCAGCCTTCTTTTCATACCCGGATTGCTACAACTAATCTCTTAGCTTTCACTCTTCTCTTCCTATAGTCTATATATTCTCCGTAGACTAGGCACAGGAATTCTTTAGCACAAAAGATAGATATCTTCATTCCCCTGAGCCAAACGGTCCGACATTTTTTTCCTTCTCACTCACAGTAAAAAGCAAAGTCTTGGTCATGGTGCAGAGGCCCTGCCTCACTTTCTAAGCTTCTTCCCATTCCCTGCTCCGCTGTAATGAACCACAATGCCCACTTGTTGATTCTCACACACAAGTAGCTCGGATCTCAGGATCTTTGCACTTTCTGTTGTTTCTGCCTAGCAAGAACTCTCCCCAGTTACGTGCCTGACACTGTCTCCCACTGTTTTTGGAGAGGACTTGCCTGACAACCTCATCTATCAGAGTGCTCTGCTTTCTGCAGTAACTTATAACTCCTCACGATAATTCATTTCTTTACATAGTATTTGTCATACAAGCAGACATCATATCACATAGAACTTTGTCAGTCTGCCTCTGCTTTACAATGTAAATCTACGTGGACAGAGATTTTGCTTTGTTCGCTGCTCTATTCCTAATGCCTGGAAAAGTGCCTGGCCTAGAGTAAGAAGCTCCATACATTTTTGGTGGATGAAAGAATCTCTGGGAACAGATGTTGAAATAAAAATTAGAAATGGCGGCTGCACAAAGTGTCCAGAAATACTCTCAAATTGTTCAGAATGTTCTATCTCTGATCATACATTAGTCCCCATTGTAAAATGATGACTGATGTAATAAAATTGGCTAAATAATTTTTTTCAAAAAACACCCTCTTCAGTCCTTTACAACAGAAATGATTGGGCATCCATGCTAGTGAGAGACTGAGAGATAGGAGAGAAACAGGGCCAAGGTCCAAGTAGGGATAGGAGGAGGGAATCACACTGCTGAGAGGATCGGCAGGGAAAAGAGCAGGTAGGAGGTAATATTAGCCCTTGGACTGTCCCGTGATATGAGTTCCCCCACTAGATGAGAAGACCCTTGAGGCTAACTAGGGACTCTCAATTACCCTTTTATCTTCAGCATATGAAAGTGTTTACTAGGTGCTGCATAAATGCTCAGTGGATGGAATGAAGGAACAGGAAATGCCAGAGGTAGGTTTCTGGCCATCCTGCTCATTCACAGCTCAGGGTGGAGGGTGGATCTGCCTGGTGTGTCAGTTCATGTCCAGCTCCACTTTGCATGTCCAGACCCTACTATAGGAAGAAATGCCCAGGGTTCTACTCCCAGGGCCACACATCCTGTAGCAGACACTGGTTCTAGCGACTGACATGAGGTGCCTTCTTAACTCTGAGTAAAGACCATGTATGAGGATGGGCCATCTAGGAACCTGAGACACAGAAGTTTAAGACTTGCCTAAACCCAGGAGGAGAGCAATGAGTGGGTGCTGCGGTACCACAGTCACAGCTCCTCTGACTCTGATGCATAGGCCTTTCCATTGAACAAGTATTATAAACTGGACTTGTGTGAGGCCAGTCTGATGGGAACCCAGAGATGATTAGGCCAATCCTGCCCTAGCCTTCTTCCTACAACCCCATGACAGAGGAAGTCATGCAGTCCTCCACATGAAGCAACCACTGGTATCACCTCAGAAGGGGCTTTGAATTCCTGGAAAACAAGAAATGTCATGGCCAGAACTGAGCACAGAGCCAAGCAGTGACTTTGGGAGGTGTTTCTCAACTTGGAAAGAGGAAGAAGAGACAGTCTCATAGACCCTCAGGGGAACAGCTGAGAATAAGTGAGTAATAAAAGTAGACAAAATGTATAGAAATATAATGTTCAAGTTAGCCAGCTTGCCAGTGCCCACGATGCTCTCCCACCAGTGCTAGGGACTGCCAGCCATTATTTCTCCATTCACCCTGCTTAGAACTGCAAATTGCTTTAGTCACCCCCCTTTCTCCTCTGAAGTGACCTTTGAATGTTCCTTTACACTGGGGTGAAGATGCTGGGGGCAGAGGCAAAGCAGACCATATGACTTATCTCAGGGTCAGAAACTTTATCAGCACAGCTCCGGCTCAGAACATCCTGAGGGTGGTTTGGACTCCACTGTTTTGCAAGAAAGGTACACAGGGTCGAGGCCGAGGTAAATCCTCCCTTATCACTTCCACCACCTTCCATGCTCAAACCCTGCCCTGGCATTCATTCACTTGGAAACCAAACTGTAAAATTACTTAAAAAGAAAAAAAGAAACCATGAAAATGTCTCTCCATTCTTTAGCTTCCTGAGCAATGTGAACAGGTAGGGTAAACCAATCTGATACTTGAATATGCAGCCAGGAGCAAAAAGTAACTTTGGAGGGGATGTTTGTGAGAGGATCAAATGGATGCCACTAAGATCTAGGGCTCTGCCCACAATCTCCCCTTCCGTCTGCTTACCAGGTGCATGGGAATCTACTTTTTATAATAACCACATCTAGAGGGCTGTGGAGACCTCTAGCCTAGAGAGAAATGAATAGGTACAGCTTTCTCCCTCCTATCTTCACCCTCTCCAGCTTACCAAGATGACCTGAAACATTGTTACATGTTTAAGTGCTAAGTTACTGTATTCTTATGGTTAAAATAAATTAGCCCTGGAGTTGGCGCTGTGACTGTGAGGCCAGCACAGAGCAGAGCGGCTGCCAGAGACGCTTGATGTTGCGACCCAAGGAGCTGCCAGTGGTGCAAATGGGCCAGGGGCCACTTACACTTGAGAAGGACTATGCAACAGCATGAGGTGGAAGTCCAGGGCAAATGTAGGACAGCCTCCCTGAACAAACACGAGTGTCAGCTGTACTGGAGATGATCTCAGCAGCAGCAAGTACCTTGAAGAAATGAGGCAGGCTTTCTTAGCTGAGACACCAAAATGTGGTTAAAGAAGTCTGGACATCCCAGGTAGCTGACTCCCAGTGGAAAAACCAGGCTCTGCCTACTGTTGGAAGCGGCTGCCCCAGCTTGCATTGTTTGTAGCAGAACCTGCATCATACCTTTATCTGTAACCTTCCCTTTAGTTTTAAGGATTTCAAAACTTTACTGTGAACACTGGGTTTTGTGTTACAGCCACGATGACTGTGGGAAAGAGCAGCAAGATGTTGCAGCACATCAACTATAGCAGCGGTCCCCGACCTTTTTGGCACCAGGGACCAGTTTGGTGGAAGACAATTTTCCCATGGACCAGTGGCAGGGGGGTGGCTTTATAGCCTGGCATCAGATGCAGCTTCACTGTCACTGGCCACTCACTGATAGGGTTTTGATATGAGTCTGCAAGCAGTTGATTTTTGATGGTTTCTGTGTGGTCAAAACCCTCTGCTAATGATAATCTGTACTTGCAGCCGCTCCCCAGCGCTAGCATCACCGCCTCAGCTTCACCTTAGATCCTCAGGCATTAGATTCTCATAAGGAACCCAGTTCCTAGATCCCTCACATGCACAGTTCTCAGTAGGGTTCCCACTCCTGTGAGAATCTTATGCCACCACTGATCTGACAGGAAGTGGAGCTCAGGTGGTAATGTGAGCGATGGGGGCAGCTATAAATACAAATGAAGCTTCACTTCCTCACCTGCTGCTCACCTCCTGCTGTGCTGTCCACTTCCTAACAGTCCCTGGCCTGGGGGTTGGGGACCCCTGGACTGTAGAATGAGGTGCATCCTGCAAGGTGGCCAGATCTTCATCGGCACCTTTCAGGCTTTGGACAAGCATGTGAATTTGATCCTCTGTGAGTATGATGAGTTCAGGAAGGTCAAGCCAAAAATGTGAAGAAGCCAGAGCATGAAGAGAAGCAGGTTTTGGGTCTGGAATTGCTGTGTGGTGAGAACTTCATTTCCATGAGGGTGGAGGAACCTCCCCACAAAGATACTAGAATTGCTTGAGTACCATTTGCAGGAGCTTCAGGAGGCCTTGAGGTTGGCAGGGCCACTGGCAAAGGAGTACCAGTGGTGGTCCAATTCCATGGGCTCCTGCGGGATTAGCAGGCCATGTCTGAGGGGTTGCAGTGCCCTCCCAGCAGGTAATGACTGCATAGGGACAAGGCCATGTCACAGATGCCACCATAGCAGCCACTGCCAGCATAATTGGAACCTC